TATATGAAACCAAGTAATAACAATAAAAAGAGTAAGAAAGGAGTTTCTGAAGGGTGATTGAACTTGTCCAGGGAAAATTACAAGATAGCATTTACAGATTTCCCTTCTGAGTATTAAAAAGTTGAATAAAGCAATGGACTATAATGACAAGCTGACCCAATCCAAAATTAATAATTTGGAGCCTAGACTATATTTAAATCAAGTGTTTTGATGGAGGACAGCACTGGAATTCTATCTTTACTTTTTAGATAAACTTCAGTAAAAATACATATTTAAAAGTACGTTAAAATAACATAACTTTGATTGCAAAGTCACAGATCAAAAGTTAGGAAATGCCAGATTTACAGTTTCTGATGAAACCTTAATTCTACTCCTTTGTGTCCATCCTTCGCACTGAATTTGGCAGGGATCCTGTGGGGAAAATAGTATGGGATCATGTAATTAAAGACTATCAAAACAAAAGCTAATCAAAATACAGAATTTCTGAGTTGCGGGAAATTTCGACATTTAAAAATTTCCTGCAAAATGGAAATTCCATACAATTTTCATTTAGAAAACCGACACGTGGTGTTTCTGAACTGAATCACAGAAATATAGGGCTGGAAGGGACCTCGAGAGGTCATCTAGTCCAGCCCCTTGTGATGAGGCAGGACCAAATATACATAGAGCATCCTTGGCTGGTGTTTGACCACCCTCTTCTTAAACATCCCCAAAGATGGGGATTCCACAACCTCCCTAGTCCAGTCCTTAACTATCCTTATAGTTAAAGTTTTTCCTAATAGCCAACCTACATCTGCCTTGTTGCAAATTAAGCCAATTACTTCTTGACCTATCTTCAGTGGAGAGCAATTGATCACTGTCCCCTTAACATATTTGAACACTGTTATTAGGTCTCCCCCTCATCCTTCTTTTCTCAAAACTAAACATGCCCGGTTTTTGTAACCTTTTCTTACAGGTCAGGTTTTCTAAAAACTGTTATCGTTTTTGTTGCTCTCCTGTGGCCTCTCGTCAGTTTGTCCACTATTTGGCTCTCCTCTGGATTCTCTTCCATTTGTCTAATTGTTTCTTTAATTGTGGCATCCAGAACCGGACACATTACTCCAGTTTAGGCCTTACCAGTGCCAAGTAGAACAGGACAACTACCTCTCATTTCTTACATATGACACTCCTGTTAATATACCCCAGAATGATATTATGAAATATTCTCCCAGGATCATGGCAGGTGCAAAATGAAATTGTCATGATTCTTGTCAGTTTTACAGCTGCTATTCAGTGGTGGACAGCCCTGAAACTGTCAAGAGGAGTGTACATTTCAGTCAGCAGCTGCCAGAGTCTGTGACTCCAGGGCTGTCCAGCGCCCAGGGCAGCTGTTCACTAGGCTGTGGGAGAGTACTGGAGTAGGCCACTCTGCCTGGTGGGGTAGCCCTGAAGTTGCAGACCCTGGAAGTCCTGGGGGTCCCGCGCCTTGAGACTGTCCATATGGCAAGGCTACCTCAGAGCAGTGGCTCCTAGAGGCCCTGTGGTTCATCGAAAGTGAATTGAACCCAACATGTTTTCACAAAACATTTCAGGTTCAACTATTTGACATTGTCTGACAAATCCCCATTTTGCTGGAAATTCCCCAACAACTCTAATTCTGCACTAACTAAATCTAGCATTTCCCAATTTTCATATGCTTGACTTTGCACCCAAATAACTTTCTTTTAACTTGGTATTTTGTATGTAATTTCCTGGAGGTTTTATTTTTAAAAAAGGAAAATGGAATGTATTACTGTAACAACTCCCCTATCATGCATCATCAGAAGGGTCTGAGCCCTGTAACAGAGTGATTTGTCTCCATGGGCTGGAGGTTTACAGGATGAGCTGCCTGAGAGGAATCAGGTGATTGCAGTTTAAAAGGAGTAGGACATTGTAGTGAAGAATGGGGGGTGGGCAGTTTAGGAAGCAGTGGCAGAGTCTGAAAGCTCTCTGTGTAGGGAACGGGACTGCAAAGCTCCCTAGGCAGGGAGGCCTGGGAGAACCCCATATCAAGTGGGGGGGAACTACAAAGGCCCCAGGCAGCAATGCTCAGCTTGGGAGAAGGAAGAGAAACCTTGGATTGTGTAGATTTATAAATTGACTTTGTTATGAGAGTTTTGAGTTTTATTTACAGTTTGTTTTATATTAATAAACCCAGTCCCTGAGGAGGGCTATTTTTGACCAAGAAAAAGCTTGATTTTAAGTTTATTTGAATAGTCCAAGAGGGGAAACTGAGGCATGCTGCCTGTAACATGACTGTTGGCCACAAGGGAGCGCATGAGATACAGTTTTCCCAGTTACAAGCTCCAAACCTTCAACACAGACTGCTACCACTTGACTATGTTAGCAGGCAGCACCCAAAGTATGTTATCCCAGGGAGGAGATGGCAACTGACACTATGTGCTGGGTCTGGGACATTTACAAGGGCCTACTGAATGCACTGTCTCTCTGTTCTGCCCTGAGAGTTGGGGGAGCTCCTGTCCCATGTGATGCCTCCATCACATGGGATGGAAGGGGGGTGGATTTGGGATGTACGAGCAGGGCTGCCCAGACGATTCAGGGGGCCTGGGGCAAAGCAATTTCGGGGGCCCCTTCCATAAAAAAAAGTTGCAATACTATAGTAACATGTATTTGGAAATGTAAAAAATAACCAGTGAAATACATTCAAAAATTAATTTTTAATAATTTGAAAATACACGAAATACATTATTTAAAAACATTAAATGCTTTAATGGGATGTATACATTTGCAATTACATAATGGGCCGTCGCTGGGTGATGGTGATGGTTGGTGCCAATGGGCTGTCGCTGCCTGGGGGTGGCGTTGCTGTTGCCCAGGGCTGGGTGGGGAGCTGGGCTCTGGGTCGGGGGGTGCCCGGCTCGGAGCTGAGGGTCTGGGCTGTGGGGGGGGATGGGGTGTCCGGCTCAGAGGGGCTTACCATGCTGCTTACCCCCGCCTCCCCTCTCCCAGAGCCTCAGCACGCCGTGTCCAGGAGCGGCCCTGGACAGCGCTGCAGCGGCGTGGTGGCTCCAGCGGGGCCTGAGCTCCCACCGCTCGGCCGCAGCTCGCAGCCCTGCCCCCTTACCACTCGGCTCCGAGTGGCAGGAGCTCAGGCCCCGCCCGAACCTGCAGCGCTGTCCAGGGCCACTCCTAGACGCAGCGTGCTGAGGCTCCGGGAGAGGGGGGAAGGCGGAGGCGGGGGGGAGCCTCCGACATTCTCGTGGGGGCCTGGGGCAAATTGCCCCACTTGCCCCCCCCCCGGGCGGCCCTGTGTACGAGCCATGTGCTGGGGGTAGTTGCGGGACAGGGTAAACCCAGCTGCTACAGATGCTCTGGCAGGTTCCAGGCTTTCACAGTACAGCATGTGCTGCTGCTCCTACTTTGGTGGTTGTTTGGGGCTGGGTCTTTAGAATATTTGTGTTTGCTTATTAGTTTTTCATGTGGCCGTAATTTTTCTGTGCAATGCTAGCAAGAGAATCAAAGTGGTGTTTTTCAACAGTTCACAACTCAGTTAAACCTGAGTGGAATTTCATGGGATAAAGAAAAGCCTCCTCTCCAGTCCAAAGACTTTCTCCTTACTAAATGTAAAGGTCAGCAGCAAACAATGGAGGGGCTAGAGTTTTTCCAAAAACAAACAAAACAAAACAAGTTGCAAGAATCTTTTTATAAGGTAAGTGTGAGGCAACCCAAGTACAGGGTTCACTACCAACTTCCCCTGTAACTACTTGGTTTGAAATTTAATTTACTATACTATTATTCTACATGGAAAACTCTCAGTGACTTCAATAGAAAAGACTGCTGCATTAGGCCCTAGTTAATAATCCCACCAATTTATCACCTTGTATGCATATTACACATAAGTTGCATATGGGGACCTTTGGTGAGGGTTAAGGGAGCTCAGCCCTATATAGCAACCCTCACCATTTTGCATGATCAGACCCATCATGCTTTTGTAAACCACATCCCACATCAGCTGCACATCTATTGTAATCCTTACTTTTATTCAATAAAATTTCTAAATATGTAATATTTCATAATGTGGCTCAGGGCTGTATGTACTATCTGTATTTAGCCTCTGATACTGAATCCTGCTGTAAGTAATTAACATACCTATCTAAAGATGTTCAGTCCTATACATCCCTGATGTAACTCCATGGATGTCAACAGTTATACCAGCAATATGTTTGGCCAATAAATCATTATCTGTCAATAAATCAATGACAAACTGTTGTTCAAGTTTCCAAACAATTAACATTTGGTTTATTATACACATACTGTAGTATGACATTTGCTATTAAGACTATAAAGCGTATTTCACAAATGTCCAGGGACAGAATGATAGAAAATCTGCCATTTTAACAGAATTCATAGTACATTTTCTTTCATCCACAGATGCCATATGCCACATTGTATGTGTAACATATAATATAGGGTAACTTGTTGTTCTTTAACATTTTCAGGAACAGAACACTTACATTTCATATAAATAAATGTGTACAGTATACATTTACAGTACATATGGTATATAAATTAGTTAACTGTTAATCAAATTCAATGTCTATAGTCCATTGAAAGTCAGCTGTCATGTATTGTGCATGCTGTTTATCGCTATGACTGGCCTCAGGACTGGCCCCAGATGCTCTCTGGGTGAAAAATTCCCAAGAAACACTTCCTGGCATAAAATAAATTAGGGCTCAATCCTACAGTGAGGTGTTTGAGTGCTACACTTGAGCCACTGGTCTAGGCTGTTGACCATGGTGCTTTGTTACACCCAGATGAGAGAAGTAAGCTGAGTGGAGTGGGTAAAACAGACTAATGGCATAGCAAGAATATTGGCCCCAGTATATGGCATAAAGCAGTGGTGGCAACCTGTGGCCTATGGGCCGCACGTGGCCCATCAGGATAATCCGCTGGCGGACCGCCAGACAGTTTGTTTACATTTGCACGTCCGCCCGCAGCTCCCAGTGGCCGAGGTTTGCCATTCCCGGCCAATGGGAGCTGTGGGAAGTGGCAGTCAGCGCGGCCCGCAGGTTGCCCATCACTGGCATAAAGCATCAATCAACAGGCTGTGAGAAATAATATTTCAGAAGAACCTCTAGAAGCATTCCTATGGGAGTAGGTGGCCCTCACAAAATGACCTTGCGTTTAGTTTTTAAGCAAAGCTCTTAAGTATACAAGCAGCTCCTACTACTAACTGGCAGCAAGAGTAAATGAAACTCATAGACATGGACACTATATACATCATTTGCATTTACTGGTTTGCACTTAAGTGTCTGTACTTTTGCCATATCCTATAATTTGCTCCATGCATCAATCCCAATTTTTCACTAACCCCATGGTAACTCTTCAGAGAGGGCATTGGCGGTGTGTAATGGAGGCTGGGGGAGGCTGAGCTGCCCCAATCCTCTGCTAATGCTCCCTGCTGCAGCCCCAGGACTGGGCTGTGGCAGGGCTCAGAGCTCCTCTGGGAGGCCCGGGCTCAGGGCTTGGCCCTGACCAGCCAGCCAGGGTTCAGGGTTCCTCCAGACTGCTCCGGGTGCCAGCAGGCCAGCCCAGGCTCGGGGCTGTTCCAGGCACCAGCCAGGGTTCAGGGCTACGCTGGAAGACTGGTCGGTGAGAGCGAGGCATTGGATGGGGGAAGGGTCTCAGGCAAAAAGGGCAGGTGGCAGGGGGCTAGCCTCTCCGAATGCAGGCACGCGCAGCCCATGTTGGTGAATATATTGTGCATGTTTCTTTCTATTATGTGGAACTTTCTCCGCATGACTGCTGAGGAAATGCTAAGTGTTAATGCTTAGGCTCTCCACACTTCATTCAGCAACACTCAGAAGTTTGCAGGATCATGCTCTTAAAGAATAATGCCATGTCTCTTGAATGTTGATTCTTTGCTGTACTATAGAATTCTTGTGCCTCCGCTCCTCTTCTTCAGAAAGCATCTTCACTCTCCGCTATCTCATCAATTATACGCAGCAAATCTTCAAATGTAGGGCGTCCCTCAGGTTTCTAGGAATTAAAATGCTTTGTTGTACTGCCAGTTACTAAAGTCACATCAGAAAGATTTTATTTTGCTGAAGCAATAATGTGTACAAAATAAAATAGCAGGAAAAATGTATGCATAAAAAGATAAAAATGTCATTACATTTAAGCAGATCAGAGGCAGCAGGAAGAAACATGGCAGGTAAATTTCTATTAACCTAAAGTATTGCTAGGACATCTCATACCCGGTGAAGCCATAAAATGAGGTTGTATACCATTCTATTTCTTATTAATCTAAACTTAATTTAGAACCTCACACAATGCTGAAAATGTTATACAGCATTATTTTTCTTAATAGATTTCTAGGTGGAAGAAGGTTATTGTGTTAATAAAGGAACTGCCATACTGAATCAGACCCAAGAGCCATCTAGGCCAGTGGTCTGTATCTGACAGTGGCCAGCACTAGATGCTTCAGAGGAAGGTGCCAGAAGCCTCTCATTAGGCAGAAGTGAGAATTTGCCCCTCCTTGTAAACCCTTTCGAGATTGGCCTAAACTCTGCAGCATGAAATTTAACATCCCTTCTAAAATTTATGTTAGCCATAGCTATTGTAACTCTTGTTATCAATATAAATATGCAATCCATTTTTGAATGGATAAATTCTTGACCTCAACAAGAATCATGTGTCAATGAGTTCCACAGTCTAATCATATATTGTGTCAAAAAATATTTCCTTGTATCAGTTTTGAATTTACCACCTTTTATTTTCATTGAGGGTCTCCTTGTTCTTGTGTTATTAGACAGCAAAAACAGAAGATCTTGACCTACCTTTTTTATACCATGAATTATTTTATACCCAGCAAATCGACTGATTCTCTTATCAGGCTTCCTGACTCTGATATGCTTGAAGAATGTCTTGTCATTTTTAAAAATACCTTTGGCTAGTTGTTATTCAAAAGCATTTTGTTCGATGTTGCTGCCTCTGATCTCTTTCAATGTTATGCACTCAATATCCTTTTCTTGATCTGGAGGTTGTTAGTAGAGGCATACTAATATATTTATATTCTTACAGCTTGGGATTTGTATCCATAGATTCAACTGCATGGTCCTCTCATTGGATTCTATGGAATATTTTGGATTCAGCACTACTCCCTCACCACTTCAACCTTGTCTGTCTTTCTATATAGTTTATGGATAACGCTACGTTTTAGTCACCGGTATTTTTAGTAAAAGTCATGGACAGGTCACGAGCCATAAACAAAAATTCACGGGCCTGTGACCTGTCCATGACTTTTACTAAAAATGCCCACTCTAACTAAAACTTGGGCAGGGGGCCGCGGGTGCTCTGGGGGGGGGACGGTCTGGGGGCACCACGGGTGCTGGGAGAGGTGGCCTGGGACCCTGCTGGTGCTGGGGGGGGGAGGGGGCCGGGCCGCAGCATGCGGCCTGAGATGCCCGCTGGTACTGGGGGTGGGGGGAGCCGAGCCATGGAACGCAGCCCAGGACCCCTACTGGTGCTGTGGAGGTTTGGGGGCGCTGGTAGGGGCTTCCTACCCAGTTCCGCATCCCTGCAGCTCCTAGCCAGCAGAGGCAGGGGCAGGGGCCAGGACAGGTGCTCCGCTGCTCCCACCACAAGCACCAGCTGCCGCAGATCCCATTGGTTGAGAACTGCAGCCAATGGGAGCAGCAGGGGTGGGGCCTGCGGGCGCAGGCAGCTCGCGGCGTGGAGACCCCCGCCCCTCCGCCACCTATGAGCTTCAGGGGGGCCAGGGAGCCTCCCACCCCAGGTAAGCGTCCCCCATGCACTCCCCAACCCCCTGCCCTAGCCCTGAGCCCCCTCCCACACACCCAAACTGTTGCTGCTGGCACAGGGGCTGCCTGGCTCGGGCAGCCCCTGAGCCAGCACTAGCCACTGCAGAAGTCATGGAGGTACCCTGCTCTCTGTTAATAACTGCACGTTAATTTTTTCTCATCACTTTTTTTCTTTTTATTTCCCTACCTGTGTAACAACCTCTGGGCATCTAACCACCTTGTTTATTTCAAAGTGCTCCCATGTGGTCACTCCAAATCTCTCCATCCTCCATGTAAATCATGGCCACTAAAACCATCTTATTCTTATTCCCCATTTGATCTCTCCCTGTCACCCTTTCCTTTTGTCATCTTCTTTCTTTGACACTCCTCAAATTTTAAGACTCACCTTCAAGAATATACCAAGTTCCAACCTGGCCTAGATTTCTGATCTTATTTCTTATTATGTTCTGCCCCTGCTTATCCATCAACAATAGCAGTTTAACTGCCTTGTTCATTCCCCCCCTCCCCCCCCACACCTTTCTCCATGTTTCTTTCCATAGTGCCTGTATGCACGGAATACCCTGCCTATTCTGATTCACCAAGACACTACTCTCTCCTCTTTGAGTTCCTCTGGAGGAAGGAATACAAGGAGGGATCCTCAAGGCTACCTCATGGTTGAACAGGGTGGCTTTTGAATAAAATGCAATCAGAATTTTACACTGATAATTAAGTGTGGTAACAAAACTCAGCTTTTGGGGGGTAAAGAAAGGACAGAAAAAGAAAAATACCTCATGCCAGCACATCACCATCACTTCATATACGTTCTTGGTAGCTAATTTTGGCCGATACAGACGCTGTCCTTGGCTAACCATAGTTACCACTTCATAATTTGTATTTTTCTCAAAGGGCATTTTACCCTCAGTAAATACTTCCCACATTAGAACACCTGGGAAATGAAAGGCATGAATAGATTGTCAAGTAAATAACAAATACTTCTTTAAAATACTTGTATACCACTAACTATGGATTTGTTTTTTTGAATGGTAAATGTGTTCAGTAAGGGCCCTATCCTGAAAAAGCTCAGTCCCCTAACTACCCAACAGGCCTAATTCACCTAACATCTGTGTAAATAAGAAGTAACTCCACTGACTTCAGTGGAATTACATCAGTGGGAAACTGGGGCAAATGAGAGAAGGATCAGGACCAATGACTTCACTGAGCATCTCCTAGGAGGTCTGGATTCTCCTTTAACAATTGGACCCTAATTGCTTATTGGTGAATTGAAAAAAATAATTTTCTTATTTAATTGCTAAAGAGTGTCTTACCAAATGACCAGACATCTGATTTGCTGCTGAATCGGCTATAATTAAAAACCTCTGGGGGACACCACTTTACAGGAAATTTAGCACCTGAAGAGCTTGTGTACTGGTCATCAAGAACGTACCTAAAAAACAAAAGCATGTGATATTTCCAGTCTGATTCCGTTTCTGAAATCACCATTTACGTCATGTTTGCTTGTATTTTAGGAGTCACATTGCCACCTAGTGGTTAGTGATTGTTAGTCTCACAAAGTATATTTGAAAAAAAAACTTCAGTAATAGTGCTAAGGTTTTATTTATACCTCTGTTAACTCTTCTCATTGTTGCACAGTCTTCCCTTGTAGTTATTAGTTTCATACTGTAGGTCAGGGGTTCTCAAACTGGGGGTCGGGAACTGTCAGCCTCCACCCCAAACTACGCTTCACCTCCAGCATTTATAATAGTGTTAAATATTTTAGAAGTGTTTTTAATTTATAAGGGGGGTCGCACTCAGAGGCTTGCTGTGTGAAAGGGGTCACCAATACAAAAGTTTGAGAACCACTGCTGTAGGTCATGTATTAATTACATTGTTACACTGAGGAAAAGAGCTATGTGAAAAATGCCAGTTTCTTACTCAACAGAGATCTGGTGCTCATGGGACAGTTTGTGTTCAGATATCAGGTTGGGTACACAAGTTGAGTAGATGGGAAGGGTGAAAGGAACCAGGCACAGTGCAGTTTGACAACAACTGGCACCATCAAAGTCCCTGTTCTCAGATTGCTTCCTCGTAGTGCCCCCACAGGGACCCGTCAGTGGAGCTGGCAAGAAGTGTAGAGAAACTCCAAGAGAAATTGTACCACCCTGTGGCACCGTGCCGCCCAGTATTCCTGCATCACCGTTTACTCAGATGACAGGCTATCTGGGGCCAGTGTGTCCTCTTTTCTTTATTTACAAAAATAATGTGTTACAACTGCTAACCCTGCAGTCTGACTACATCTACTGAAGACTAGGTTCTATTGTGCTTTGTGCATCATCAACACAATTTTCAGATTCTGTTTAGAGAATCTTTTATCATAAGAAGATTGGGAAATGGGGAGAGCCAGAGATGTGAAGGTTTTCATTTTCTTCTGTTTTGTTTTCATGAACAAATGTTGTCCAGCTTTATTCCTTGTGATAGTGCAAGAAGAGAGAGCCCATCTTGACTTTCAGATCCCAGGGTGGGTTTATAGGGTTGGCAGTTAGAAAACTCATTTTATGAGTTGCTAATTGAACACCTTTGATAAAGAAATCATTGAGGGTGACTAAATATAGAACCCACCACAACAGAATTTTGACAGAGGAAATTTGAGTGAATTTTAGGTTTTAAATGGGTGAGATTATACTAGATTATCCTAATGAGGGCAGATAAGGCGCAGGCAGGTTTCCTGATGAACAAATGTGTCGACTGGCATAAGGCTAAAAGGGACTTCTAAGGTACAGAAAGAGGAAGAGTAAAGTGGGGAAAGCTACACTGTTTCATGAACAACCGTTTTCATTTTCTGAATACAAAGTTGGTGATGACAGTAATAAACAGGTTTTTCTTCAACACTGGACATGGATGTCTTGTCACTTTTAAAAATAATATTGTAACCAATGCAAGCAAAATCCAATTGTCCAAATGTATCTGAGTTCCCATAATAACAATACTTTAAGGATTTCAAAACACTTTACAATCAATTATGGCCCATTTTACCCATTGGTAAGAGGCCCAGTCTCCATAAGTGATGCACAGCAGAGGGTTGAGCCTAGTCTGTATATTCTGTTCAGAGCAGGGTGGAAGCTACAACTCCTTACTCCATCTATATGTAAGATGTGCTAAAGTGCCTGTCACCATAATGCACCATAAAACAAGTTGCATCATTTTGCTTTTCCTATTTTTTTAAAAAGTAAGAAAATATCACACTGCGACCACAAAATAAGTAAATTTGAGAGGGAGAAATTTACAAAACCACTGGAAATAAGACAAGTTAGTTACCTGGAGAAAGAAATGTCATTTTTGTCTGTAATTTTAAAGTGATGTAATGTCTCAAGTGCAAGAACACATGTTATGCCAAATCCATTAAAAAACCATTGCAAATAAGTATGTCAACTTGGCTATACCTTGTCATTCCAAAATCAGACACTTTCACCACTCCTGACTCATTCACTAAACAGTTTCTGGCAGCCTGCAAAGGGAATAATTATGTAATTAATGATGAGGAAAGATCAAAATAAGAACATGATTAGATGAAATTCTATTTATTGTATATTAGGATAAATTCTACAATCACTATTCAGAAAACTCACATTGAATTTGATAGGAATTCGGCATGAATAATAACTGTACAATTTGGTCTGTTGTTGTGAAGCCCAATCATAATTTATAGTGAGAAAATAAACACAATGCTTGCATTCTTTGCATGTTCATTTTCTATATGTAGTGCATGAGCCTCTTTTCACTTATACTAGCACAAATCAAAGTCAGTTGAAGTCAGTGGAGTTACACCAGTATAAAATCAGAATTTGGCTCAGAAATTAGACACCTACTTGGTGACAAGATTTATCTGCTTATATTATTTATTATTTATTACTTAATTTAACTGAAACTATGGGGGCTGAGTCTACTCTCCCTTACACCAGTGTAAAGCGGGAATAGTTCCTCTGAAGCAATGGAATTACATAGGTATAAACTCAGTGTGATGATCACAATCAGGCCCCCTGCTGTTTAGCATTTTGTTCATTTCTAGTGCATCAGAACGTTCTCAGGCCCTAGTCTCTTTTCCCACATGTTCTAACTCATTTCAGTGGTGTTGCACGTGATTTATGAGTATAAGTGAGAAGAGAGTCAGACCCTAATATCTTAATGATATAGCAAAGTTCATCATTCTGAGAAACACACAATTTTGTTGCCTCCAGTGAAAATTACCATTAGTATAGCTGTCCTTCATATTCATACAGTATACAACAAAGGAAGATCAACTCTAATGATCTGATTCTCCCTTTTATTAAAGCAAGCAATGTTTCAAATGAAACTGTGTTTTAGAGCAGTGGTTCTCAACCAGGGGTACGTGTAACCCTGGGGATATGCAGAGGTTTTCCGGGGGCACATCAACTCATCTAGATATTGGCCTAGTTTTGCAACAGGCTACGTAAAAAGCACTAGCAAAGTCAGTACAAACTAAAGTTTCATACAGACAACTTGTATATATAGTTCTATATACTATGCACTGAACTGCAAGTACAATATTTATATTCCAATTGATTTATTTTATAATGATATGGTAAAAATGAGAAAGTAAACAATTTTTCAGTAATAATGTAGTGACACTTTTGTATTTTTATGTCTGATTTTGTAAGCAAGTAGTTTTAAGTGAGGTGTAACTTGGGGGTAGGCAAGACAAATCAGACTCCTGAAAGGGGTACAGTAGTCTGGAAAGGTTGAGAGCCACTGTTTTAGAGGAACAGTAGTATATTACTTATCTTAGGCTTGGTCTACACTTACCCCCCAATTCGAACTAAGGTACGCAACTTCAGCTACGTGAATAACGTAGCTGAAGTCGACATACCTTAGTTCGAACTTACCGCGGTTCAGACGCGGTCCACACGCGGCAGGCAGGCTCCCCCGTCGACTCCGCGGTACTCCTCTCGTTGAGCTGGAGTACCGCAGTCGACGGCGAGCACTTCCTGGTTCGATTTATCGCGTCCAGACCAGACGCGATAAATCGAACCCGGAACTTCGATCCCCAGCCGCCGAACTAGCGGCTGGGTGTAGACCAGCCCTTAGACTCCTACATGTTATCTAAAACTATGTCATATTAGAACCACTGTGTAAGATAGAGAGCTTTCAAGACCTCATCCCATTGCTCACCAAAGTAAATATTTCATTAAGATCAGTCACTAGGTCAATGATGAAACAGACAAGATATAAATAAATTCTTTAAGTGCTTACTTACTGAGACAGAGACATTATAAAATGAGCAGGAGAAATTACTGTATGTGGTTAGTAAGAATTCTGAATAATGAAATTAATATATTATAAAGCATAATTTTCTGTGTAGAATTTACAATATAATAATTTTATTAAAACACTTAGGAGGTTTTTAATCCACTGCCCATGCAGATTCAATCATTCCTCCTTACCCCAGATGGGTCAATTTTGTGGATTTTGCTTAATATTAAACACAACCAGTTAAACAATAGTATATATTTTTGAAAAAGTTATGAGTAACTGAAAAAGAGACATGTTTAGAATAGAAACAGTTTCTTACCCTTAACTATTAATGCATAAATCAGAAATGTAGTAAAGAGGCTTATATGATATTACCAGATCTCTGTGGATAAAGCTGTTTCTCTCCAAGTACTCCATCCCTTCACATACATCCTGGCACATTGTCAGCAGGGTATCTTTATTAAAGTGTCCACGTTTTTGTCGAAGGTAATTCAGAAGGCACCCATGTTCCATGAACTCTGTCACTATGTAAATAGGCTTTTGCTGTGTACAGACCCCATACAGCTGAACTAATTTAGGATGGGTTAGCTTCCTGAAAAGATTTAAAACATATAGTTATTGTACCTTTCATCCCTCCAAGAAGTTATACAGTAACTCCTCACTTAATTTTGTAGTTATGTTCCTGAAAAATGCTACTTTAAGCAAAACGATGTTAAGCGAATACAATTTCCCCATAAGAATTAATGTAAATAGAGGGGGTTAGGTTCCAGGGAAATTTTTTTTTACCAGACACACACACACACACACACACACACACACACACACACACACACACA